GTGGTTCCGTCATATACCCTCAAGTAGGGTGGCATCTTGAAGGTTTTTGGGGTGGAGTGAGGGGCAGCTTCTTCAGTGTATGGTTGTTCAACGAACCTTCCCACGTCGCGTTTTGGTAGCAACTTGGGAGCACCGGGGATCTTGTCGACCCTCTCCTGATGTTCCTTCATCTGACCGCGGAGCGCCTTATTTTCATTTTCCATTTCTTCCATCTTTTTTAGGATGGCTGTTAGCGTGCCATCATTGGTCTGTGTCTCGATGGGTTTGTTATTCGCTAGTGTAACTTCCGGTTCACCCACGGCAGCGGTGGTACCTACCGTTGGTGTACATCCGATGTTACTTTGTGGTGACCTCTCAACCAAGCCACTTACAGCGCTTGTTAGCCATCTTTCCAGTAGCTCTTTAACCGCTGAGGGTGCTTCCGTAACCGCAGATGTGGAAGCTCCTTTTTCGTGCAAGATCGTCAGACCTTCGGATGGGGAAGGTGAGATCTCTGCACCCGGTGTGATGCTAGGGGTTGCATTCAGGATGCCATCGTCACTGGCCTCGTTGAGAGAGCCAAGGAGATTGGTAGTGACACCCAATATAGCTTTCGATCTTGTGTTATTTTCGGCCATTTTCTGTTTTGGTGGTGTAGAGAATGGTAGTTGGTTGATCTCTAGGTGGATACTATGGTTTTGATTCTCGAAATCCCCACAGACGACGCCAAATTGTTTGGCTCAAAAGTTAACAATGTACTTTGTAAGCTAAAAAATAATCTAAAGTAGGAAAATGGTAAATCGTAATCAAATATAATAATCCTAGAGATGCGAAGATGATAATATTGTAGTAGATCTAGTATTGCAAAGAAACAATATGAACTCAATAAGATACGTTCGTTTGAAGTAGAGATAGAGAGAGAAAGCCAGAAAATTGAGAGAGTTGTATTAGATCAGATCCCCTTTTTACAATGCGAGGGTCTCCTTTATATAATAAGAGACCCTCCTCGAAAGAATCAAAAAAGTTACAAAGACAGGTAACGTCTCCCTAGTGAAGACACTGAGCCCTAAACGATGTCGCTTTTGTCCCCACGGCCGAGTCGTACCCGCTACGTTAGTTGTCGTACACTCACTGGGCGTACCCACTGGCGTAGAGATGCTGAGGGTCAAATTTGACCCTATACAAATAAAATAGTAACAATAGCTTCACCATTAGTAGATTAAGATTTTTCTATATAATGTTAGATCAAAGGCATAAAAGGAAATACTGCATTGTAGCACAGAAAGGAGAAAACAAGACAGTGAGCAGATATCATTCAAAAAAGAAGTTTAGATAACTGTAGAGTTCAAATGTGACATGAAGCAATTCAAGAATCACCTTATTCCCCCAATAATTGAGATCTATGAGTAACAAAAAGGTATACCAATTTCAATTAATCCCAGGCACGAAATATGAGCTAGCCAATTTGGGAGCCTCTTCTTCTTTGTTTCTGGAAGGAAGCAATCTAATATGATAACATGTAAGAAGTGACTTAGTCAATATCTTCTTTGCTAATTACTAATATTTCCTATTCTTCAAGTTATGTCTATAACTAACCGTAAAAAGGAGCAATATGGGAAGCAATTCCACACCAGATAAAATAGTAATGGAACATCATGCGTCTTTTTCACAGGAGATGGTAGAAACTATATATAATATGCCACAACAGGCTTGTAAGTGAAACAAGTTTTTCCAACATTCATGTTATTGCATTTAGACGCATACAAGAACAGATAATACTGCATAGTTATCTACACAAGATGTGAGATATTGTACTGCACTGAATAACTGTGTCAAAATATGGTTTAAGCAGAAGCATAACTACTACTCTACGACTCTAGTTACCAAAAGTAGTCGCAGATGCCAAAGTTTTTACGCGAGCTTCATTGAACTTGAGTTGTGTCTCTTGACCTATTAGTATAAACAATAGATTCAGTATGAGCGAAAAATAAGACTTCAAAATATGTAATTTCAAGTATAAACAATAGATTCAATATCAGCGTTCCTATATTGGTTTCAAGAGTAAAAATGTTCCAAAAAGCTTGATGGCAAGAATGTTGGGGAAAATAAAAAATATACCATGAGCCTCAATCAAGACAGAAAATACAGAAATGAAAACATATAACGAAAAACATCTAGAGTGGATACAGTATTAGTCATAAATGATTGAGAAGCCACTACTAAATGAATATCCTTTTTGTCACATATAATTGTGCTCATTGATAGACAGTTGTAGGACAATTTTCAGATGTTCTTTAACTTTTTTCTACAATAAAAACTAAGGAAAAACTTAAAGGTAAATACTAATATGAATAGTCAGTTAACCATCTGCTCCAACCTAAAATTCATAAGGTTCTTACAGTAAGAAATTCACAGAGTTTATGTAGCAAGGCCAGTGAAGATAAAATTATATATAATTTCACAAACATTTGCAACCAAACATTTATCCAATTTGAACAATTTCTAGCCAGCAGAAATTCCGAAAATTTGGAAAAGAAGAAACCAAAACTTTATCTTATAACTATAAGTGAAGCATAAAGAGCAAAGACATATAATTTCAAGGAGTTTTTGGTAAGGCAAATTAACTGGGATAAGAGCTCCGTAAGTTTAACCTGATAAGTTATAGCCTGTTTTTCACTGTACTATCTAACACCACATTTCTTCTAAACCTTTGTTAAAGAAAAAAAAAACTCTCAAACAATTTGAAAAGGAATTCACAAAATTAGTCTTTTGAGTTGGGAGGGGTAGATGGCATCTTATTTCAATATTGTAGAAACTTAAAAACTTTTGAATAAAGTGAAAATTTTCAAAAACAAAAATACTCAAACACCTTTACAAACAAACACCATCCAATCCTCTGCATTGCAGAAATTGCTATTGAATCATTAGCAATAATGAAGAAGCTTATTAGCTGAACTATGGCTAGTAAACACAACATTCGAATACTAAATTTATCTCCAGAGATCATTTCTGGTAGAAAATAAAAATTTTAAGCTGTAATAAAACGGCAGCAACCCAATTCAAACAATTTTTACGCAGTAGCTATTTCAAAAAGCAGGAAAATAAGAAAGCTGAGAAATTCAGCAATACAATCTGGAGGTTCACACAAGACATGCCAACCATTTCGAGTGACGTCTAAGTTTATCTTCCAGTGTTAACCATTTATTAACTTTCGTGTGTCAACTGTCCTCATATAAGAATGGTAAAGACAGCTATTGAGCAAGTCTATTACTCCAGCAACGAAAAACGTAACCTTATTGTTATTCAGTGAAAGTTCGCTCTAGCAAAGAGTAGTAACCATACCATCAAAGCTGAATATTGACAAGCTATATATCAATGACTTTATTAATAATACACAACTTTAACAAAATAATCACAGTAATTCAATTTTCCCTTTCGGTCTCGGAATAACATGCATTCTAGAGTTTTATTGTGAAAAACTTATCAGTGCATAAGCTACAAATGTTGTGCATTACCACTAAGCCTCAGATGACATATGAAGATATAATGAAAGGATAAAAATGTAATACTGAAATAAGGATTGCTTAAGGAAACAGATAACAGGGTAAACTTTTGATGTTCTACGAAGAAGAAACTTAGAAAGAAAAAATTAGTAATCAAAGGCATAAGAAGATCCAATAGTGGTCAAGATGGCATTGTGAGGGTACTCAAAGGAGGGCTGAAACATAGAAAAAATCAGCAATGGTGCGAATGCCATAATAGAAGTGGTCAAAGAGGAGAAATACATCAGAAGAATATAACCGGTAAATGAGAAAAATGTGCTACCAGTAGTCCAAAAGTAGATAACAGCACGACATGGTCAACTACCATATCTAGACATCAGAGATAGCATAATTCATATTTTCACAGAGAATCCTATTGTTCCACTAATTGGAGTTATGATTCTTTACATTGTAAGCACGGAGAATTTTCCCTTTTTCAGGTTACATTGACAAAGATGTCTCACAAAATGATATAAAGCCACTCGACTAACTAAATGATTCACATTTGCAGACCAGGAAAGTATAAAACTTAATGGGATTTATGCAACAACAACAACAAAAACCCAGCAAAATCCCACTACTGGGGTTTGGGGAGGGTAGTGTGTACGCAGGCCTTACTCCTACCCGAAGGAGTAGAGAGGCTGTTTCCGAAAGACCCTCGGCTCAAGAAAACAAAAAGACAAAAAGGAGACAATATTAGTATCAGCAAAAAAATCATATGAAAAACAGGAACATAAAATTCAGAAGAAAGATGCAAATTATAAGCAAAAGCGATAGCTAGTAAATAGTTCCTGCATTGAAAAGTGAAATAGTAAGACACAACATTGCCACTAACTATCATATACAAAAACCCTACCAGACTGGTCTCGCAATGGTACAAAGTAAGGAAAGACTCAAACTACCTCCTAACCTACAACCCTAATACTCGACCTCCACATCTCCCTATCCAGTGTCATGCCCTCGGAAATCTGAAGCCTTGCCATATCCTGCCTGATCACCTCTCCCCAATACTTCTTAGGTCGCCCTCTACCTCTTCTCGTGCCCTCCACAACTAACTGCTCACATCTCCTTACCGGCGCATTTGGGCTTCTCCTCTGAACATGCCCGAACCATCTGAGTCTCGCTTCCCGCATCTTAATGGGATTTATGCAAACTAATAAAATAAAGTACTAAGTCTTTGCAATTACAGTTACATGCTCCACCTTATTTATTTGAATATATAAGATCGTAATAGCAAAAAGCGTTAATCACATGCACGCAAATAATGAACATATTGAACAGAAAAGTAGAGTAAGTCTTGGCAGATCAAATGAAAGTCAAATAGCTTATGTTAAAGAAACTCTACAAAAATTAAGGAGCAAGGAAATACTTCATATGATTTTGGTCTTTAAGTCATCCGCATTGTCTTCATCTCCCTGATAGTCATCCTTTTTATCCTCATCATTTTTTGGGTCAGCATATTCAGCTCGAAGAAATTTCTCTGCTGCACTTTATCTATTTTACACAGAATAGCAAAAATTGTCGGCATATGTATTTTTAGTAACTAAAATAAGCAGGTAGAAACAATTGGGAAATAACTCTGAAATACTAAGAGAGAAATTTTCTGTTAATAATATCATCAGAGGTCATATATTAGATATTTGGAGATAACACTGCACCGTTTGCGATCTTATTAAATTGATTAATCTATGCTATGTTCAACAGAGAATGGAACATGATGTACCTTTATGCTGCTATCCAGAGCAAACAGTAAAAGCAACTTGCTTCTTCACTCCCAACACAATCATGAGGACCCTAAGAAAATAACATTTTGAGTAATCTGCTTGTTACAAGTTTTATATGTAAAATGACAGGTCAACGTAGTCATGTTTATGTATAAAGAAACACGAAATTCCGTGCTTCTTCAAGTTGAACTATTTACATTTGATCACATTGAGTGGTATGACTTGATTTTGGGACATAGATAAATGATACATAATGTGAGTATGAATGCAAGCTTAATCACAATTTGGAGAAAAAATTTATATTATACATTACATATTTAAGATAATAGTTCATAGTAAAATTCAAAAATCAAACAAGAGAGCGAAAAATAATTCTGACGAAGCAACCTCATTGCTCCAAGCGATCTAATTGGACGCAGTTTGAAAACAATGCATATATGAGAAGAAAACGTTGCTGTACAGTCTATTTGACAAACTTGTGTATAACAGCAAATTACATTTCATCATCATATGTAGAAACTGCTAAATATGCTTTACCTGCGTGCGTCAACCTTATTTTGGGAATTCCGAAGTACATGTGCCACAAACAAGATCTGTATTCTTGTGCTAAAACTTTATGTCCAACTCTGTTTTAACTCTGTAACGTGTGAAAGATTCACAAGAGAGCCTTTTGAATGATTTCATCATAAACTATGTTGTATGTAGAATGATCGTCATCACTATCTGGGTTTGGGGGTCGAATTAATAACTTGACACAATTGGAAGCTTTTGCTCTCGACAATGCAACATAAAGTTGACCATGTGAAAACACTGGTTCTCGTAAATATATTCCAACAAAATCTAATGTTTGACCTTGTGCTTTATTTATAGTCATAGCAAAACAAAGTCTCACTGGAAATTGTGTTCTTTTAAACTGTACAGGTAATTTTTCATCTTGTGATGACATCAATGGTATTCTCGGAATGAACACATGTGTATTTTTAAAGTCACCGCTTGCAATTTTTGCACTTATAACATGTGTTTTAAAATCACAACATGTCAATCTTGTGCCATTGCATAAACCTTCACAATGATTCAAATTTCGTAGTAATATAATTGGACAATTTTCTTTCAAAGTTAATCTGTAAGGAGGTAAACCAACAGGATTTAAAGAATGCAAAAAATCTTCATACTGACTTTGATCATTCGATTCACATGTTTCATCAATTGCAACAAATGTTTTAGCTTCTTTTGGAAATTTGCCTATAAGCATATCATTTATTTCATCCACAAAATCATTTTTCGTCGTCAAAATAACACGAGAAGTCACAAAAGATGCATCACAGAAGAAATCATGCATATTAGGAAATGTTGTTTCAAATAATACATTCAAAGATTCCTGTTCAGTAGTATAAGGGACAATAAATGAATTTGGAATTTCAATTTTGTTTTCAGAACTAAGAGGTTCTTTTCTGTTTCCTATTCTCATCAAATATTCACAAAAGGAGGGATCAGTTTTCGCACGCATGTTTTTTGACAATTGCAATTTTTCAAGTCGGGGCCAAATATCAGAATATAATGAACTTTTGTCCACATTTTATATCGTACTGACCATATAAAATATTGTGGAAATTCTTTATACAGTAGATTGAGCTTTATTGCATCTTTATTTGTTTTGTTCATATCAAAAAATTCTGTTAACATTGTTTTTCTAATCAAAGGATTATTCATAATTGAATTTACACTTGAAGCACTCCTAAAGGAAACAAATTGTTGTCCTCCAAGATGTAATTGCAGATGATAAACAACTGGTGTCATTTCATTAATAGGGAAACCAAATAAACGCCATGTAGCTTCAGGCGGTGATACCCGTCGAGCAGATTGATATTCTTTTATTTCATCTGCTTCAACATGTGCGTCATTGTCGTGCATGTGAAATGCAATTTTGTCATGTCCTTTGCAAATGTATTTATAAATATATTTAACAGCTTTAATATCTGAATAAATTTCCACATTTATGTGACAATTTAATTTTCCAAGTAAGAATGAATTATAAGGAACAACCCACGAGTTAACAAAATAGTGATCTTTAATTTTCACAAGTCCCATGTTTCGTCTTTTATAAATTGGATAAGAATTTTTTCATTTTGATGTTTGATCAACAAAGCTTCTTGGATATTTGAATTTGCAGCAACCTTTTTTCTTTTGCATACAAGAATTTGTAGGATTTAACTTGCCACAAGGTCCATGTATCATATGTTGGACAACAAGTTTATATAAGGTTTCTTCAGCGTTACAATCAGGTAACTCAGCACGAACAATATTATCTTAAGAAGCTAGGGTAAGTAGTTTGTATTCATTAGTAAGTATAATAAGAAAATGAGCATGTGGTAAGCCGCGCTTTTGGAATTCTATAGTATACATAAAAGCTGCAACTTTTCCAAAGATATTTCTTTTTAATATATCTGTTTTTAGTTCTTCTATCTTTGCTCTACAAACTCGACTAATTAAATCAGGTCTATTTTGTGCTTCGTCAGTTGATAGCAAGTGGTCTTTTATCTCGGGCCAAGATGGGTTACAAGTCATCGTTATGAATAAATCAGGTTTTTCAAATTGTTGTACTAAAGAAATGGCATCCATGTAGCGTCGACGCATGTCTCTTGGTCCTCCTATAAAGGTAACTGGAAGGAATGTTTGCTTTCCTATATTTGAAACGTCTCTTTCTCCAAGTCTTAAAACATCAATGAGTCCTTGTAGCATTTCAACTCTAAAGAGATCTGGGTTGAATGAAAAAAGTCTAATCTTTGTGTTTCGAGTTTTATGTGTTCATCTACTGGATATTGCTGAAATAATCTTCCTGAATGCAAAGTTTCATTTGTTTCGTTTTCTCTCATTTGGAATTTGTAACAGTAATATTCACGAACAGAAATATTATCTCTTTTTCGTTTTCCTTTTTCGAAATTCTGAGCTTCCATGTCAAGGTATCCATCAAGAGAACACATATTTCTAATACGTGATAATTCTTCATGTTCACAATAGGCTCGACGTTTAGAAGTATCTTTTGGTTGTATAATTTTTTTGATGCCACAGTGCCATCCACTTTGGCCATAAGGAAATAATAATGGGTACTGTAATGGGTCATAACATCCGTAATAGTAGTTCACTATTTGAGATCTATTGCTTTGAGTGTAGATTCGGATATGAGGTGCAGAACTAACTTCAGTGATTTCTTTTTCAACACATATTCCTGCAACTTCTGATGTAGTAGGAAGATTGTATACTCGTTGATCCAAGCCTGAGTCAGATTTAAGTGCAATATTGTAGTTCGATAGATTTGGAACATCTATTAGGGATTTTAAGAAAGTAGAATATGGATTAATTCTCAGTATATTCATTAGTTTTTTGACTATTGATTCATGGATTTTGTCCGAGCAAGCCATTTTGTTAGCTAATTCGTTATCGTTGTCGTAGAAGTATAGTTGTAGATTTCTTGCTATTCCACTCGGAGGGAGTAAATAATTGATAAAATGGTACATCTTCCCTTGAACTCTAAATGTATATATACCACGATTTCTTTTTGCTAATTCTTTGTCATAATTTACACCAAATGATGTAAATGCAAACATATTATTGTATGTTCTGATATATGTTCGAAAATGTTTACATTCTTCGGTAGTTCCTAAATATATAATTCAGCAGGCGTCTCATGTGAAACTAACTTGATCGAACCATTGTTACAGCAAAATCCAAGCGGTTCATATTCAAATTTTTTTGCACCATAAAATTTACAGTTACGCACAATTTTCAAGGGAATATAATCAGATTGTAATTGACCAACGTATGAACAACTTTTTTTTTTGTGAGTTATAACCTATATATTTAGGTATCATTAGCATAAAACTACTAATTAGTTAATATACATCACTATCATAATAAAAGATTGGGGCAAACCTTTTCTGCCAACCATTCTTGAGCTCATACTACTATTTTCATTGCATGCATGTGACGTTGAGCCTAATGCCAAAAAGTAATAAATTAGCAATAATAAAGACGTTATGTATCGTAGACATATAACTCAATGTTGGATCCTTGATACTTGCCTACTTCAAAGGAGTAGAAGAGATAAGTTATATTCTTTTGCTTGTCAATTGTAACTGCAAAGCATCAACGTGAGGCTCGTTGGCTAATAGGGGAAATATCACACATTTAGCATCATTTAATTAAACTCACATGCAAAGACCGTGAAGCGACACTTCTACAAAAGGTAAAAGAACAAAGGATGTATTCTAACCTGTTGCTGAAGAGCCCACCAGAGGAACAATTTGTTGCTAAAACTTAAGTGCAGCTTCAGTAGTGCCATGGAAACCAACATTGTCGGACAAATTACTTCTTTTTGACTCTTGTCTTTTTGTTCGTCGTTGTAGTAATAGTGCTTTTTTTTTCGGCAGATATTAATCTATACGTTTCATGTCACCTAAGTTCATCTCAGCTTCCGATTTTACTGAGCAGACATGTTTGTTCTTTTGGTCAAAAGTCATTAGTCCTACAGAAGCACAATTATAAGAATTAAAACACAAGAAATAAGTGGAAATAGCTTGCTGCAGAGGTACCAGCAGAAGTGAATAGCAACTGGATTAATCACTTGTTAATAAAGAGATCCTTGGTAGAAGGTGCAATGACGAATTTCAACATTAGGTATGTATTCCTATGTCCATTAACATGTTCTGTCTCTGAGAATGAGCTTAAAATCACTCAAGTGTACCTCTGTGGGAAGAGGAAATTAACAGCCAATTAATGAAGCCAGCAGAAGCGAATAGCAACAGGATTAATCACTTGTTAATAAAGAGATCCTGGGTAGAAGGTGCAATGACGAATTTCAACATTAGGTATGTATTCCTATGTCCATTAACATGTTCTGTCGCTGAGAATGAGCTTAAAATCACTCGAGTGTACCTATGTGGGAAGAGGAAATTAACAGCCAATTAATGAAGCCATGAAAATTTTATTTTGGAATATATTATAGATATGAAAGACTAAATATCAGATAGATCAACATAAATTTAGTATGTTACATGACAAGCTAACTCTAGTACCCAAAGTTAAAGAGAACCTAGAGAAGGCAAACATTTTCAGATTTTTTTTTAAGATTCTGCCCTATATCATTTTCCAAGTAGTAGTAATGATATAATTTAGCTCCAGGCAAATGACAACAAAAGCCGTTGATATTCCTCAGAACAATAGAGATAAAAATGAATCACAAATACTTCAAAAATAGAGAAGAAAATGCATTCGTAGTAATTTTATTCCTTCAAAAGCTACCAGTAACTATTGGCACATCTAATTACCAAAATAAAAGCTAAGCAAACTGATACTGGATGGCATATCAAGAGACACAATCTTTAAACCTGTATTTCAGGTCAATTTGGTTCTAAGCAAACTAAAACTGAAAAATATCTTGGGAAACATAGCAGAAGGATAAAATAAAAAAGGGCATATATAAAGACATAATCTTTATATGGATTAAATCAAGAATTCAAGAAACAATCAAAATCATTAACTCTGAATTGACATGGGATTAGCTGATATGTAAAGAAAAAGAAGAAAAAAGTTACCCTTTCGAATTTAGACAGAAGTTTGATAAAATTCAAATGAAGACACATTGAACAGATATAAGAAGTACATTGGGCTTCTTCTTTATCTTCTATAACTGTAATTTCTGGTTGTGTTCTGTACTTACGTCAATATCAGATATAATATTTAAAAAAAAGTTGTTGAATTGCATGGTTATTCATACACATACGGAAGTTTTGATACCTCAAAGTGATCATTTGAAAGAAGATTAGTCAAAGGGGAATTAGAAAACAGCTTAAGTCGATTTTAGAATTCCTAACAAGGGATCCGCCACAAGAACTTTTTCATACACTACTATACTTCAGAGAATTCTAATAACAAAGTTCACTCCTTTTCTTTGTATATTAGTTATAGTTAAACTTTCACTTTACAAAAGTTGCAAAGAGAATCAAATTACCCTTCGCTAAGGAGATGTGACGGTGAAGATCCTCTCCCAAATGAGGTTTATTCCAATAACCCTATCCATGATTTTGTTGGTTTAGCCAACAGGTTCGTCACTTTTTTTGTTTCTACAAAGTCTTAATTGCAAAACAAACAAATTAATGAAAACAGAGAAAAAATCAGAACCCAACCTTAGTTTGTTTTCACCTTTACTGAAGAAAAGGCTAATCAAGCGAAAACCCCGAATATCTTTTTGCAGAAGATCTGAAGCTTTCAACAGAGGAAAACACAATAAAGCTGAAAGAGGAATTTATGACGAGGGTAAAGAAGAGCACGGAGGAAAACTTGTACTAAACAAAAGCAGAGCAAAGAATAAAGAAATGAGAAGCGGTGCTTTCTACCTGGCAGATTAGGGTGTCAAGAGAACAGGAAATGACAAAGATACCCTTATGATGAAGCAGGCATGTTGACCATTAGATGCCTGCTTATTCTCTCTTATAGTATAGTAGCAGAAATTCTCAAATATCATGTTTCCAGTATCTACCTAAATACTCTCTTTCTGATTGAGATTTCAAGCTTTCTAACTTTTTTTCCGTCCTATTGTTTAAATCAGGCAAGTATGGCCCAAGAGTGGATATTAGAAATCCTTACTCTTTCCTGGCCTTTGCTGCAGCTGAGCGTCAATTCCTGCAACCAGAGTTTGATGATTGTGCCGTTGCATGCAGTGGGAATCTAGCATGTCTCCGCTAAGTTGCAATCGTTATAAGTAGTTGTGTAATGCTTCTATGTTTTAATCTTTCTGTTTGTGAGCACTTCGTTAAAGAAAGCAGTTGATGAACCTTCTCTTTCTGAAGATATCTGTATTTATCTTACAAGGGACAATGTTAATCTAGCACTTTGGTGCTGAAAATCCCTTATCTCTTTGAGCTATATATATAGCTTCTCCTACTACTATCCGTGAACTCGGAAACAAATGTAAATGTGAGGATTTGAGTTCACAGGCTGTTTTCATCACCTTGTCCAATAATCTCAGATATTGGATGTCATTAAAACAATTGGTAATCCATATGATATTTCTAACGGATTTTGTTGAGGTAATGCTTCATTTAAATCATCGGAGCTCGTGGTACAGAGGTCAAGATCATACCAGTTTTTGCCTAGTGTTACATGTCTTTATCTGTCTTAATTAGTCAATGGGGAGGCAATACTAATACCGAATTATTCTATGTTAATTTAACTTGGCTTGTACCTGGAACAGAGAAAAAGGGTATCAGATTGAAACCCAGGCACTTTCTACTTTAGCAAAGGTTTAAGTTTTCTGTGCTTACACTGGGTGTTTAACATAAACGTCATATCTATTTTTGTTGCAGTTCAATTCTTGAAAATTTAGTAGAAAATTTTGGTGAAAAGCTTAACCTTTCAATTTTGAAATTATCTTTTTTAAGTGAAGCAAACATTTGCTACCAGTTATTTCTCCTTTTTTTTTGCCGAATTAGTCTCTCTATTTTACATGGACAGGAAGCAGTTCTTTATAAAGTTTAGTTGAAAGCTAGTTTTTGTTCTTACCCTTTTTTTTTGGCTCTTTTCCAGCAAAGCAAAATGGTTTAACCAACGTTAAGACTTCTGTTTTGCTTTTACTCTCTTTTCTTAATTTGTTTTTAAGCAAAGAAGGCTGTCAAGAAATTCAAGATGTTGAAGAACTGATAAATGCAAAGATAGGTACACTTCGAGAGGAGGTTGTATGCATGAATATGATAACATTGGACCTAAGAAAATAATAGCAAAAAAAGAGAAAAGTAGACAACAAACAAATTTAGTAAGCAAGTAAAAAATATACGGAAATTAATGCAATGAAATGTATCCGAAAAACCTATCATATCACTGAAACATGCAAATAGTTTTCCCCCCTAAAATTCTGAGAATCAAAATTGTACAATGTAGGATTAATGAGAGTTATCATGTAAGCACGATTTCATTCATAAAATTTATATGATTTTTTGGTAATAAATTTATATCATTACTCTTTATAAGGACTCAAATCCAAAGCAAATGTAGATTTCAGGTTTGTAATTCTTCTTAATTGGAGTTTTTTCACAATTCATAGTGTTTCGGAGAGTAAATGAAAGTACTTTTAGACGCAGTGAATATATAATTGGAGTCCATAAAGCATTTTTTGGAGCGCATGTAAGCTATGTTGCGTGGACTCTCCAAAATATAGCCGCACCCGTGTCGGATCCTTCAAAAATGCACTACTTTTGAAGGATCCGACACGTATCCGGCCACATTTTCGGAGAGTCCGAGCAACATAGCATGTAAGACTTATCATTTCTCCATGGTTAATCAACTTGCTATAATTCAACAATACCAAAAGATAGAACAAATATAATACAGTAGCTCTACTTTTATACATACATCTTTCACCAAAAGTGAGATCATAAGGAATTTTTTTTATAAAATTTGAACCATTTCTCGATTTGCGCGTGTCATCCTTGCGCAGGGCCATGCTAATGTTCTTCGTATCGTTCCAATTTTATCGGAGGTCCCCGAAGGGACATCACAAGGAAATGGAACATTAGTTTGTGGTTTTTTTTTTTTTTTGAGAAATAGAGGAGGCAGGATGTCTGAGCAAGTAAACTAGGGGCGAATTTATAGGGAGATGATAGGGCAGGTGAACCCATAGTCTCTCCGTAAAATTAGATATTTTATGTACATATTTTTAAGAAATGGTATAATATTAATTGTTCGCACCCATGCTTCAAGAAGGCCGAATGAATAGGGATCAATTCCCACTTAATATAATTTTTCCTCCATTTTTTAGTAGTGTGTCCCAGTATTAGAAATCCTAGATCCGCCTATGAAGTAAACTATATGTTGTTTCAAATGTAACACCAAGTACAAGAAAGTTCTACCAGTAATCCAAACAAGAACAAGCCCCATTTCTGAAGTGATGAAACCTAGATCTATCTCTTACTATAATTTCCCTCTCATAAATCCTTGAAATAAGCTTAGTAGCTGCATGGCAGTCACTGCAAACCCTTAGGTTCTTTATAATTCTAATAGGGGAACCAGAATCAGATGCAATAAGAGCATAAGCAATGGCTAACCTTTCACTATGGTATGAAAGTGCATCTTCCTTCTCTTCCTCTTCAATGTCAAACAACACTTCTCTTGTTCCTGACTTATGACCATGTTCTTGCAGCCTTCTATTCATTTCGTCCAGCTTCAGATATATCCATTTAGCATGTGGATGAGTCTCATCGCTAATAAGGAACTCGTGCATAGTACCATCAATATCGACAATGCTACTACCAGGAGCTTTGTCGATTCCATGATCTTTCATCAATTTCCTTACGATTTTCACATCATCCCACTTGTTCAAGCTAGCATACATATTCGATAACAACACATAATTCCCGCTAGTCTCTGGCTCGAGCTGTATCAATTGTTTCAATGCTGATTTACCTACCTCTAAGTTACCATGAACACGAGCAGCTCCTAATAAAGACCTCCAAAGAACTGCATTTGGCTTCATAGGAATGGTCTGAACTATTTCCTCAGCCTCCTTCACCCGGCCTGCCCGACCCAAAAGATCCACTAAGGTCCCATAATGCTCAAGCTTAGGCTCAATTCCATAATCCTCTTTCATTGACCCAAAAAATTTGCAGCCTTGATCAACCAACCCCACATGAGAGCAAGCACATATTATAACTAGCATAGTTACATCATCTGGAACCAAACCTTGTAATTCCATTTTCACGAAAAGGTCAAGAGCCTCCAGCCCAAGGCCGTGCACTGCAAGTCCTCTAATCATGGAATTATAACAATATGTGTCTCTTTCGAGCAATTGATCGAACAACTGTCGGGCAATATCAAGACGGCCACAATTTGCATACATGGTGATTAAAGCTGTGCCAACGAAGCGGTTGAGCTTGAGTCTATTCCTAAGCACATAATAATGAGCCCATATCCCCTGACTAAGTGCACCCAAATCAGCACAAGCACTAAACAATGCCACCAAACTAACTTCATTAGGACTAGTCAAAGATTTCTGCATTTGATTAAACAAAAGCAGAACTTCCAATGACAAATTAGTCCTATCATAAGCATTATCAAAACTGGCTTCATATTGAACAGAAGTATTATGGGCATAAGCTGTAAGTATGGAGTTCCAAGAAGCTAAATCCGGTCTTGTGATTTGATCAAAGAGGAATCTTGCAACCCCCAATTTGCCACTCCTGGAGTAGAAATTAAGCAACGAGGCTTGAACAAAATGATCATAAGGTGGTTCAAGGAATTTCAAGACATGGGTGTGCAAGGCACGGCCATGTTGAAGCCATGGTTGAGAACTACAAGCCTTAAAAAGAGACGGGTAAGTGTAATTATTGGGCTTGAGAGTGGTTTGAGTGAGAATACGAGTGTAAAGAGCTAAGGAAAAGTGAACTTGATCATCTTTCCTAGCAAGGGATGATGAGATGAGGGTGTTGAAAAGGAAAATTGTTGGATTGTTTACTTGGTTGAAAATGGTTAGCGCATAGGAGTTGGCGGCGGCTAGGGTGGAGGACAAAATGAGTATGCGACTGAGAGGGTAAGTGTGGAGAATAAGCCCAGATATGATCACTTGAGCATGCACTTGCTTGAGAGTGGCTATGTTTTTGCATTGTTCTATGAGTTTGAAAATTGGGTGGGCAGATTTTGGGCTCAACGATTTCATGTGAGGTACTCGAAGCTTTGCATTAAAAACCATAACCTTAGTGCAGAATGAGAGCTCTCCTTTTGATGGTGCACTTGCACAGGATTAACCGCACGACAGAACTCAACAACAATTCAGATCATGCCCACATCTGAAAATTAAATAAAGACATAATTAGAACTCATCACATATACAAATTTAGCACATATGTGAACAAAAATCATAGATCTGGTCATTATGGACAAGATTTCTTTCTTTTTTTAATCGATTTAGTTACAGATTGATATAAAAATTTGTTCAAATAACCTCACCACCATGCTCAGATCACATCACTTTCAATTAGGATAGTCACAATCTTCCATTATAAATAAAATAAGGAAAAACATAAACATAATCGAAATTTGATAAATAAACTAAAATTCAACAATCCTTATGAAAGAAACATAAATTACCAACAAAAAGAAAGTGAAAACGTGAATCACAACATCTTTCCGTAAAGTGAGAAAGTTAGTACTTCCAGTCATTTAGAATAATATGTATCAAACATCACCAGCGTTTTGCAGTCTAGAAGTCATAGTTCATATGAAAAAGCGAAGCTAATGCCATAGTCAACTGAGGTGTTCAAGCATATAGTCTTCTACAGAGCCCAGCAAATGCGCGACAAGCTTAGCGCTAGCTTAACAGAATAGAAGCAACTCAGAGAGGTTGTCAACAGCTTGTGCATGAGCTCATGTTGCCACATGGGAGGCAGTTATATGCAAGTTGCAGTAATTTAATTACTGAAATTAGTTAGGAGATTAGCTTATTGCTCATGTTGTATATAGAGTATTGAATAGTAGTTGTAGCCTTGTGTTGATTATAACTTATGTCAAATATAGTTTCCTTGACCCAACTTTCAGCATTCAAACTCATAGTTCCTGAGCTGATGGTCATTGACTCATTGGTACAACTGGTATTAGAGCTATTTGAATCCTCGAACCAGGGTTGAAATGGCTAAAAGACCGCCAAAATATACTGAAGCGGATGTAAAGGAACTCCCTAAGCAGCCTAAATAGTTGCCACCTCACAGGGGTAGCAATGATGACAGAATACCCCCGGTCGGTGACTCTATACCAGTTAAAGGAGGCTTATATATTTTTCGATAAGTAGAAAAAACATCACATGTTTGTTTTGGCTGGAAAGAAAGTTGGCTCTTGCTATTCGTACGTTACCACAATGACTCAAAACAGATGCTCTGCGGAGCATAAGTTTTACAAACCACTCACTGAGGACTTATTAGATGAATTGGATGAACCAAGATATTCCTAAGGTGGATCAGAGAGCAGGTTACCATCAATTGAGAATGACAGCTGAGATTATCTTCAAAACAAATATTGGTGATGCCATTTGGCCTAACCAATGCACCATCCACCTTAAAAAGCTTGATGAACACTATCTTTAAGCCTTAATCATGTAAATTTATATTATTTTTCTTCAATTATATACTAATTTCCTTCTTCAGTACTTCAGTGAGAGGTTTAATTTATGCTCTTCAATTTTATTCAAGATTCATTGTGGAGACAAATGCTAGTGACCTTGCTAGTAGGAGCAGTGTATTTTCTTATCAACACTAATTACTATCAACTTAGACTTGATCTATTTGTGCAATCTTTGAGTAGGCATATCACCTTTTTACTTTCAGAACAGACACCTCCTCCCCCCAATAAAAAAAACCCTAAAAAAAAAATCAAATTTCTGATAAGCCAAAGTTGCATACTAACTTTCAGTTTCAAGCATTACCAAGTCAAAGGGAGTTCAAATTCAACATTTTTATCAAGTGGCTTCAACAATAAAGTATTACAAAAGCACACTGTTTGATTTAGCCATCATACTAAAAAAGAAAACGTCAAGTAATAATACAAGAACATAAATAAAGGGGAAGAGAAGAACGTAGACCTACTTGGCAGAAGAAACTTATGAAGAAGTAGCCATTTGACTCTTCAATTTCCGTTCAGTCTCTTTTTTGATTTTCTCCGGCCGCCTCCTACATGAAAACTTCTTCCAGAAAATGACGAGAATGTCAATCTATTGAGGAGAGCAGAGCAATCTTCTCCGAGGGCAACTTTGGAATTAAGCGAAACTTTATTTAAAAGAGATTTTTATAAATAAATAAAAAAACAGAATTTTTTTTCAATAATGTGTTTGTCAAATTTTGTAAGTTTTTGAAAATTTTTCTAAAATGAGTTTTTCAAAAATCAATAAGTGGTTTGGATCATTTATTCAAAATTTTCGGCCCCACTCACAAAACTGCAATATTTTTTCAAGTAAATGCATGTACAAACAAAATTTCAAATTCCAAATACTATTTTCAACTTAACTCCAAATACTACTTTTTTTCAAAAATTATAATTTTTATGTCCAAACGCCTACTATATTAGAAACTTATTTACCCTCACTAGAGATGTTTAAATTAATTGCAAGTTCATATACGATTTACCAATTGTATACAAATTAGTATAATTAGTATTGATTGTAGCCTTTTAATTTGGTAAATCCCTTTAAACCCTCATAATTCCTTTCTTCCCCACACAAACCACAATCACAGTTCTTTCTAAAGGATTTTTCCTCTTTCCCTCTTTGAAATCAACTCTATTTTTACACCGATTCTAAAAGATTTTCTTCTAAAGCTTATAATTTTCTCTAACATGGCGAAGAAAGGAATTAATTTTTTATCTATCTGACTTTTTTCAAGGCCAGAGTTTGGAGCTTTTTTGGGCTTCCCCTTTTCTTGTTGGCGTTCCGATGGAGGCTAGCAGCAAATAAATATCAATTATTTGGCTCAATCGTTCAAATTAAAATTGTCAACCAATAAATTTTGAAGGTGTTTGACTCTCCACCATTGACAGCCACTAAAAAGCTTCGAAACATTAAATTCGAATTCGGATTTTCAAAGAATAACATTTGTTTGGATTGGGTGTTATTGCAAACGATTGGGAATATTCTATGGAGTTTATATCTCAATTTTGAGGATATTTGGTGAAGGTTAGACTTGATTTTTGCTAGATTTTCAGATAAAAAGTCGCCGTCGAAGAAGAGGACGACATGGCATATAATATACATACAAAATTATATTAAAGTTGTATAATAGTTGTATGAAAACTGTGTTTGGTTGTATTTTATTTTGTAGTTGTATTTTTTTATTTGAATGTTGTATGAAAGTTAAAAATTAGTTGTATACTATATGAGTCATTGTATGAAATTTGTATTTAAGTTATAAATACTATCTTTTTACATAAAGTAATTGATATGTGTCAAATTTGTATTAAGAGAGGAACTTTCGATTGGAATTTCAGAGACGATGAAGAATACACCACATACAAAATATATACAAATTGTCACACCTCCTTTTTACCCACCCGAAGGTAGTATAAGGGAGTTTTTTCACTTTAAGTGACATCATTCGAAATGGGATTATTTATTTATCAGAGTCGCCACTTGGGATAGTTTATTTGGTGTCCCAAGTCACCAGTTTATTTTTAATCCCAAATCGAGGAAATTCGACTTTCCTTTTGAAGTCTGCGAACCAAGAATTCTGAATAAGGAATTTTGTTAACCCGGGAGAAGGTGTTAGGCATTCCCGGATTCCGTGGTTCTAGCACGGTCGCTTAAACTATTACAATTGGCTTATTATCTGATTTTAATACATGTTTTAGCCTATGGTATATTTTAACTTATTAACCGCTTCTAATTAATTTAGGAAGATTCAACGTTAAAGTCTCCCGAAGACTCCCAATGCAGCAGAGCCGGAAACATCTCCTTACGTCGAGCTGGTACCCGAGAGATCGAGTAACGATCGAGCGGCAACTGACCCCGCCGTAGTGAGGATGCTTGGGAACCTCTTCGAAAGGATCGAATTAGGCTCGTGGAAACTCTTACAGCAACCGTCTCCCGAGGATACAGTCCCGGAACTCGCTTCACAAAAATCAGGAACGCCGAAACTCCCTAGGTGTGACAGGACCTCGGATCCATACGGGCGCATCACCACTTACGCATGCGCATCCAGAGACAGCGACCTCCAAGATGTTGAGTTCGAGCCCGTCCTGTTGAAGAAACTCGAAGAGACTCTCTCGAAAGAAACCATAACGCAGCGCCACTGCCTGGCGCCTGACCTCACGAACCCGCTTACCATACCAGCGTGGTCCCCCGCGGAAGCATGCGCCGGTGCCATCAAAGCAGTACCGAGAGGGACCAATACACCTGAGGCCGGACGAAGAAGAAATGAAATGCCGCGGGAAGCCCCACCCCACTCCCTGATAGAACGAATGATATCGCTCCCGGTTTCGGATGATCGGGCAACACAAGCCTTCACCCGAAGCCTAAACGAAGCATACCCAACGGCTCCAGGACATTTCAAGCAAAGCTTGATCAGATACCCAACCAAGGCTTGGTTGGATACCCACACCCGACACCAGCCCAGAATCAGGGCCGTAGACAACCATCCGGGAACCTCCTCGGGTTCGGTATATCCAAGTGGACTCCCGATAAAGAAGCTGACGCCGGACGGACGGAGGTATCAGCCGCCCGCTGCGAATAGAAGGAACGACTCGAGATGTAACTCACCTCACAACAATAGGGAAATAGCCCGAGGACAGTACCCTCGAGGAACCTCCAATGGAACCAGATTCAACAAGGCACAACTGGCAGGGAAACCCCGCCCGGTCGAGTACAACTTTAGCATTGCTATACCAAGCATCGTGATCACCATATGCGAAGCCAGGAACGCCAGGCGGCTCAGACCTATTCGACCAAAACCCCTTTAAAAGAAACATGGCCCATCGCGGGAGCCGCGGGGCGTGCGGGGTCACTGGCTCAAAAGGGCGACAACTATGCTATTCAACAGAGGCCGGTACCAAGTATCATCGAGCGGTCAGACTTGGCTCCAGCTCCAAGGGAGGAAGGAGATCGGGAAAAAATGAAGCTGGCAAGCCACGACGTATTGCCACGACAGTAAAGGGGCGGCGGCACCCTTCAAAGATCCATATAGTGTAGAGTGAAAGTGATCATCGCGAGAAAGAGACGGTCCCGGGGAATATTCCCAAAGGACACCCTTGCATCCAAGGAAAGGGACGCCGAGACTTCGCCTCGATCTCGTATCAACGCATTGGTAACCCCCTCCCTCATTTAACTTACTTCAAATAAAGCATGTGTTCATGAGTACAGGTGATTCGACCAATTGTACCGACGGTGTCAGACCAAAGACAATAGGGCACTTCGGACTAACGAACCGAATCACTCCCGCGCCTCGAGCCTTTGATGGGTTCCGGACGCCAATCGCCACAACAATCAGGGAGGCCGCTCCCTCTATACAGCCCACTTGAGCTCGAGCTAGAACGCCGAACCCGCGAGGCGCGGACGTTTTATTCAGATGACAACGGACACACCGCCCAGAGGGGACTTCGACCCTGCTCCACCAAAAGGGTGAAACCCCACGACAAAGGTGGGACTAAAGTATTCGACAAGGATCTACACGCGACGAGAGGAAATTCCTCACCATGTGACCCATCGCCAGCATCGATGCCTCCGCCCTCGAAGGGATCAAAGGGTAAGCAGAACCACATATTTGGCCAAGCCTGGTCGAACATAGCAGAAGGCTGCATCAGGGCTCGTGCCTCGAAACGTCGCCTACGCATCCCGCAACAAGGAAGAACTACTCCGCTCCTTTGTTATTTCTTTTCTTTTCTTTTTACTAAGCTGTATGCAGGCAGTCAGCCGAGGCATTCAAAAGTTCTAAACTCCACTCGGGGATCCGAGGCCTCTGCGGGATCCGCCGAGCTCTCTCTCCTCAACCGGGCTTCCAACCTAAAGAAGGTCCCACCAACAAGATTATTAGCGGAGTAGCATACCCCCAAGAAAGGGATCCGACGAGATCGCAGTCCTTTCTTCTACAGTCGGACGACGTGCGATGATCTCCTATTAAGGATACCATCCCCTCGGAAGGGCCAATAAACGGCAGGTTAAATTCCAAAACGGAATCATATAAACAGATCAGTAATCAGAGGAGCCGCACCCATGCGGGCCGAGCTCACAACAGCGGGACGATATGTATTCGCAACATATATTTATGCCAAAGAAATAAAGAATATCTTTTTTGGCATTTCATGTTTCGAAAAAGGCTATTTTGGCATATTCACGGCGAAGGCCTCTCCGCCAAATACGTCCCGAGATACTCGGAGACTTAAACGATTCAGCGCCCACACGACCCCAGGGTCGGAACTCCGGGCTCATCAAGCCCCTATAAGGCAACTCTGAGTTCACGAGAAGCGGTCTTCAGGCTTAAACAAACTCGATGACTCGGAGACTGCCGTTAATCGCCATACGACTGGAAAACCCAAAACTGTAAAACCCCTAGCGGGAAGCCTCGACATAACCATATCTATTCTACAAAGCTGTAAGACCTCAATAGGCATGACAAACTGTAAGACCTCAATAGGCATGACAAACTGTAAGACCTCAACAAGCATGAAAATCCCGCAGTTTAGGCTATACGTCGCATTTGTAAGAATCCCTAAAGGGCATACCCTCGGTGTAGATGCCTAAATTGTCACTTGGGATCAAAAATGGCTACGGCCAAACGCATATGACTACGGTCAAAACGGTGATACAACCTAAATAACATGACTCGGGGACGCCCGACTGTCGTTAAAAATACTCCGAATATACTTCGGAAAGAACCGGTTAAAACAGGCTTCCCTCAACAGGCAAAAAACGAGCTCTAACCGCGTCGGCTCCAAATCACAAGAGCGTCGATCTACTCGACCTACGAGCTATGAACCTTACGAGGTGCTCAAAACATCGGCGGGAACGACTTGAAATCGAGGTTCTTCTAGAACCGACGACGGGTCAAGCAAAAATACTCTAAAAGACCTTAACGAGCGGAAACAAAGCCTACAAAAAAGCCCACGGGCAAAAAATAGCGTAAGAGCCATTGTCGCCAGCTAAGCAAGCCTATGGGCCTCATATTGAAAGGTCTCTACGACCAAACAAGCGTAAGAGCCATTATTGCCAGC